CCCCAAAACCCCAAAACCCCAAAACCCCAAAACCCCAAAACCCCTACTAGCTAGGAAATAATTGAACAAACTAGTCTTTTATGAGCTAGTCTATATTTTCAAAATGTTCGAATAAACTGAAAGCAACACTTAGTATGAATACGGGTTTTCAAAATGCTTCCTCTGTGGAAGCTTGTAATACCCTCTTTGACTTTCATTGCTTGCAGAAGATTGATAACTTGGGATATTTAGAGAGTTATTGAAATTTTCACTACCATATTCTGGAGGAGTTCCTTTGTAATAATCTTTTTCTTTACTTCTTCCTTGAACTCCATCTAGAAGAGATTAAGCAAACAAAAAAGGTATACCTCTGTCTCTTTCAGGTGATACTAGAAGACTCTCAGCTCCTGCACGACGAAGTGAGGAATCAAAAGAGCGATTTCTAAAATGTGAAGGGTCTTCACCTTTCCTCCTAAGACTTCTACTATTCACTATTTTCGTACTATAAAGAGGTTAAATATAATGCTGATAAGAATGTATACCTGCAATCTCTATTATCAAGTGTGGAACTGTGATCCATTTGATCTTTATAAATCTCAGGAGAAATTCTCCTCAATACAATTCTTTTCAACTTATTTTCTCTTCGGCTTTGAAATTTCAGGAGAGTCCACAAAGCGTTCCTGAGCTTCTGGTTCTTCCTCTGAAGCTTCAATTTTTTGGGGTTTATTAGTACTATGCACAATTTCTTTAGCCGGTAGTGATAACTTTCGAGAAGCAACTATCATGCCTCTATTCTTAACAGGAGGATTTTGGACAAAATAATAGCCATTTTCTCGATCATCAGGGCTCACAGGCTCAAGGTTGGCGTTATCAGAGAGTCGTTTCTTACCACGGTCAGTGCATTTAAAATAATCAAAGTTTACTACTCTTCACTTTGGGATATAATTCCCATAATCCTTTCTAGCCATCATATTAATTTTATGCCTGGGGAATAATGGGGTTTTGGGGTTTTGGGGTTTTGGGGTTTTGGGGTTTTGGGG